GGGGGGGGGTGTGGGTGGCAGTGTGCTTAGCATGCAGTGCGGGGGCCTCTGCCAGTGCTCTGCCTAATGTGCTGAAATGGACCTCTCTGCCCCCCTATCCGTTTTAATTCAGCCATGATATGGAGCTGCCTCTCCTTGGCGAGGGCGGCTGTCAGGCCCAGGAAATGAGATGCAATTAAAAACCTTCTTCGGCTGAACCTGAGTGGCAACAAAGCCAGTCTGTGGATGAGGGAGACTGGATGTGTAAGGTGCCCTTGGCGTGCCTGGTGTAAGGTGCCCTTGACGTGCCCGGGTGCCCCCCTGGCTGCTCCGTTAGCTGGCTACTGGAAGCTGGCACTTGCCTTTTAGGGCATATTTAGTGGATTTGTGTTTAATTTTTGTTTTTCTTCGTAAAGCTGACCCGTGAAAGCCGCTATGATCGGCCTGAGCGTGAGCAGGGGGGGAAGCAGAGGACAGATGGCGGCAGCCTAGATAAAACCTGCTTTTTGAGGGGGGGGATGGGATGGTGATGGGGACTGTAAGCAGGCCCCGGTGGACACACATCCGTGACGGCTTGCTCAGTCTCAGCCCCCTCTAATGGATGGATCCCATCAGGGGCCTGGACCGCGCTATCCGGCTTAAGACCATCGGGGTCAGTGCAGACCCCCAGCAGGGCTGTCAGTTTGCAGAAGCAGCGAGGAGCCGAGGAGCCAGAGCTGCACGCCGTGTATTTACTACATAGATGTGTGAAGAATGTCCTTTTAATCTTGTCACTATACTGGTCAGTCCAGTCCTGTGAAGAAACCAGTGATCACTAGACTGGTTCATAATTTGAAAGGAATAAAAAAATACTATGTCTCTAAATGTAGAGTAAGGATTATTATTTAAAATTGAGAATAGGAGAGAATATGCTTTTTAAAATAAACATATAAATCTCTTCGACGTGAAGACATGGTCTTTCCTGTTCACCATCTGTCTTGTATTACCCTTGTGTGCTTCATCTGAATAGCTTCAGGTGTTCACTTTCGGTGTATAGTTACAGAAATAGCGTACAGTGCGTATCATGCCCTTTGCAGTCGAACAAAGCTCGGTGCTGCCCTCTGGGGACCAATCTGTGAATTACCGGTGCTGCCCTTCTTGTCTCCATTAGTTTGCCCTTGTAGTTTATTACCATATTATAAAAAGATCATCCCTGGGTTTCTCTGACTTGTCTCTCTACACCCTTGTGGTCCCGCAGTCCAACGTGACTCCAGTGTTCTTTGCAATAAATGCAGACGCTGCACCGCAAACATAAATTCTTATCAGCGATGTAAATATTTTGAAATATTTAATGCTCAGTGCTGCACGATATTTATCACCAGCTGATGAGGCTACGGTTGTGAACATGACTTCCGTGAATCTGGAGCGTGTAATTTGCCCCTAGCGACAGAACTGAAGTGGCTTATTTACAGCAGGCTGTGAGTGGTGTGTGTTAGTGTGAAGTGTGTGTGCTGTCTGTGTGTTAGTGTGAAGTGTGTGTGCTCTCTGTGTGTTAGTGTGAAGTGTGTGTGCTGTCTGTGTGTTAGTGTGAGGTGTGTGTGCTGTCTGTGTGTTAGTGTGAGGTGTGTGTGCTGTTTGTGTGTTAGTGTGAG